AGCGGAGCGGAGCGGAGCGGAGCGGAAGAATCTGTCCAAATTGGGAAGTTACGTGGGTTGGGGTGCGGGGGGCAAAGCCCCGCGGTTTGGTACAGGGGTAATGTTGTAATTACATATTGTGTCTAGGTTTACTTCTGGGGTTATAAATAGGCATGTTAGTAATCCCATGAGGTATCCCTGGTTTCTGTAAACCTTTTCTGAATAGTGAAAGAAACTCGCCGCTCTGCTCCCGAGGACGTAGGCATCTTTGCCGAACCTCGTTAAATCTCTGTGTTCTTCTGGATTTGTGTCGATTACTGTTTTTCTTCGCTCTTATTTTCTCAACAAGTGGTATCAGATATACTGCCCAATTTCTATGAGAAAAAGGAGAAATTTACTTACATATCTAACATAAAAAATTTAACTTTTACTTGTATAACACTTTGGTGTGTGGTATTTTTAATGTAACATTAAGGATTTGAGTGTTATGAATGTAAATGAAGGTTTAGGTGTATGTAAATTCATTAAATTGTGTGCGCATAAATGCCCAAAAAAAAAAAATCAAGTTGTAGAGGTACATACTTGGAGACTTCAAACCATCTTTAGAATTTATAGGCTTCAAAGCACCTTTTGTAGCAGGAGAGGTTGGAGATTTCACGGAATCCTTGAATTTTGGATGGATCGCTGTTTCTTGTGCGATCTTTGCGTGCAATGACTTAGCTACACCTGAAGTAACTCTGGACCTGTATTCAATGAGCACTATTAAAACTGAAAAAAAAAATCACAAGAAAAAATATAAATAAGAAAAAAAAGATGAAGAAAAATCAAAATTTTAGCAATCAATGAAAGAATTAGAAGCCCCTTTTCGCAACTGCCATGCCCAACAAATATGATAAAAATGTCAAAATAATTCTCTAATTCATTACAGGGGTCATTTCAATCCCAGATTAAATAAAAATATAAATTTAATCTCAGGCTCTTTTAATATGGGCTGAAATAGAAATAGTCCACACGGAAGATTATTTCAGCCCTAATTAAATTAAAAAGTCCGAGAATTAATATAATCTCAGACCTTTTTAATAAGGGGCTGAAATGGTTCACACAGATGATTATTGACTATTTCACCCCTAATTTAATTAAAAAAGTCTGAGAATTAATATACACCTACAAGTTTTGGACTAAATTGATCCCATATAAACAGTCGGGGCTATGTTTGCACTTTCTTATCTCTCATTCAAATTTTGGCTAACAGAAGTCTCTACTACTATTAGAAAGCTGCTTTGATTTTGACCAAATAAAATCTCTACCATTAATTTCATAATAAAGATCTAAATCATTCATTTAAATTTAAATTAGAACCGTGACATAAACTCTGTTATGTATGCTTATTTGTTTCAGCATTTTCTTTAAATGTTAATTCGTTAATGTATGATAATTTCCATTAAAATAAAAATATAAGAAAAAATCTTCAAATATAGATGAACATGTTAATCCATTCTACTTATCCAAAGAATAAGCTAATTTTTGCACAAGGTTTTCTAAGTCTTCTACATTGAAAATTCTCACTTTAAAAAGAAAATCATTGGGCAGCCTCTCTAAAAGGATTATAAGCCTCAACTTTTTGACAGCCTTCCCAAAACCTGAGTGATATAAGCCCCAGTCTTTAAACACAGATTATAAGCCCCTCTTTCAAACCTAATCCTCTTCGAATAAATAGTGGAGTTGATAAGGCTCATGGAAAAATAATTTTCATATAAAAATAAAAAAAAAAGCGTGCCTCAGCCAAAATCTCCATAATGATGTCATGGTTATTCCTAGCTATTAAAACATGAAAAAGCTCTAAAAAAAGAAACTTATGTGCGCTTAAGGCACCTTAATCCTTATTGTTGTGAGATATGTACTTCCTGACATAGAAATGAGACGAAAAAGAATACAAACAAACACAGATCGTTTACGTGGTTCGATCCAACTGGATCTACGTCCACGGAAGGGAATCAATCAAATAGTTCACAAAGGCAAAAGAAATGGAGAATACATAGCTTATACATAGAGATGAGCCCTCATCTTCCTTCTATGGCCTCCCTCTCAAGAGACACCTTGATACAAGGCCTTAAGATGCTCTCCTCCTCTCTAGCTCTCTAGCTATTCTCTCCTGGATCTCTTCCATTTCCTCTCCTAAGCCTCACACCCTTAAGATCTCTTCCCTTGCTCTCCTAAGCCTCATACCCTCTCTATTTATAAAAGCAAGAGAGTGGTAGATGAGAGGTAGGTGAGCGGTAGTGTGAGCGGTAGATGGGAGGTAGGTGAGCGGTAGATGAACAGTTGGTGAGAGCGGTAGGGGAGGACTTAATTAATAAGCTAATTAAATTCGGGGGATCGGTTCAAAGTAAAGATTCCCTCCACCTGGCCCCTGAGGGGCCCTCAGCCCTTGCTTGAGTCTGCTAAGTTTAAACAATACATGGACTTAGCAATCACGGTTCTTCCGATAAGGGAGTACAACCCCTTTTTTCTGACTCATTGTATGACGACACGAGGGCCTTTGGTTACTCTGTGCAGCCATTCTCTGCCTCGAACGAGCATCCGTTTGACTCCAACGTACCTAAAGAAATTAGATTTCTTTTGAGCTCTGGTACATACCTAATATTTTTCAGTACCCGTTCAACTCCATCAAACATCCTTATCCTGATTGATCCACTTCCAACAACCCTGTGAGCTTTATTGTCTCCCAGTAGAACAGACCCATCATTTTCCTGTTGCAGTGTCTCGAACCAGTCTTT